TATCGACGGCAGAAACGGCTGTCCAAAGCCAGAGACAAATTATTATAAAGACTGAGGACTTTCTTTCCGGTTTCGTACTTAATTTCTGAATTTCACTACTTTCTCATCTATTTAATATTTCTTCATACACCATTCAACGAGAACAAGTTAACACATCTAAACCTCCATATATCTCACAAGTACTACTTCCAACAACCCCGCCATTATCAATCGACATGGTGGATCTCAGGACTGAATCTCTCAAATCCCCAGTGGATGTTGCTGAGTATCTATTCACGAGATTGAAGCAAATTGGAATCGACTCTATTCATGGCTTGCCAGGAGATTACAATTTGGTTGCTCTCGACTACATTCCTAAACTTGGATTGAAATGGGTTGGCAATTGCAACGAGTTGAATGCAGGTTAGTTTTCCTCTATCAGCCAATGTTTCATAGCTAACGATAACTTTATAAAGGTTATGCTGCCGATGGCTATGCTCGTGTGAAGGGAATTTCAGCAATCATGACTACCTTTGGCGTAGGAGAGCTCTCGGCGATCAATGCCATCGCTGGTGCATACTCCGAACGGGTCCCTATTGTCCACATAGTTGGCACCCCTTCGACAATTTCGCAAAAGGATGGCATGCTTTTGCATCATACACTTGGAAACGGAAACTTTAATGTTTTCGCGGATATGTCAAAGGAGATCTCTTGCGCAATGGCCAAAATCAATGATCCTAACGAAGCGGCTGCCTTGATCGACCATACGCTACAGCAATGCTGGATTCATAGTCAGCCGGTCTACATTACATTGCCAACAGATATGATTCAGAAGAAAGTAGAAGGAGAACGGTTGAAGACACCCATTGACTTGTCTCTACCCTCAAATGACCCGGACAAAGAGGATTACGTCGTTGATGTAGTTCTCAAGTATCTCGAGGCCGCCAAAAGCCCTATCATCCTTGTTGATGCATGTGCTATTAGACACAGAGTCATCCCAGAGGTGCACGGATTAATAGAAAAGACTGGCTTGCCTGTCTTTGTCACTCCAATGGGCAAAGGTGCTGTTGACGAGACCTCCGAAAACTATGGAGGTGTCTACGCAGGAAGTGGTAGTCAGCCAGAGGTTAAAAAGCGAGTCGAGTCTTCGGACCTCATTTTGACGATTGGAGCCATCAAGAGTGACTTTAACACCGCCGGATTCTCCTATAAGACTTCTCAACTTAACACAATCGACTTCCACAGCACAACAATTGTCGTTCGTTATTCTGAATACCCAGGCGTCCATATGCGCGGGGTTTTGCAGAAGATTATCAAGAAAATCGACCTTCAGAAGCTCTCTGCTGTTCCAGGGCCCAAGATGGAAAACAAGGTCACCGCAAACGAAGATAGCTCCGATACCATCACTCAAGCATGGTTTTGGCCCAGGGCTGGCGAGTTCTTGAAGGAGAATGATATTGTCATTACTGAGACTGGAACAGCCAATTTCGGTATTTGGGAGACGAAATTTCCAAAGGGAGTTACAGCTCTCAGTCAGGTATTGTGGGGCAGTATTGGGTACTCCGTTGGTGCTTGTCAAGGTGCTGCACTGGCCGCCAGAGACTCTGGAAATAACAGGAGAACCATTTTGTTTGTTGGCGATGGTAGTTTCCAGCTCACGGCTCAAGAAGTAAGCACAATGATCCGCCTTGGATTGAAACCTATTATGTAAGTTGCGTTGCATCCCATCTCAACAGATTTTATGGCTAATGATCAATGAAGTTTTGTGATCTGCAATGATGGCTACACCATTGAGAGATTTATTCACGGCATGGAGGCAGAATACAACGATATTGCGGCGTGGAACAACAAAGATCTGGTCCCAGCATTTGGTGCCAAAGAAGGCAAATACAAGCTTCACCAGATTAAGACCAAAGACCAAGTTAATGAGCTTTTCACGAACAAAGAGTTCAACTCTGCGGACTGTCTGCAGTTTGTGGAATTGTATATTCCAAAGGATGATGCTCCAAGAGCATTGGTCTTGACGGCTGAGGCGAGTGCCAAGAATAACGCAAAGGAGTAAATAATATTTTGAGCTTCGAAATCAAAATGATTGGGGCATCGGAGGCGTATGGATCAGGAATCAGGTCAGGATAATGAAAATAATGAAATAATGAACTTCTTCTCTGCTGTATCAGTCAGAACAAGGAATTGTAATGCTTTTGTTGCTGTGATTCCGTCGAATGAATACATCAATGTAACCTTAGAATTGACGTAGAAGTTTGAGATATTGGAGTGAGACCTGTACACAAAAATATTTTGGAATGTGATCAACTCCAGAATATCGGATTTCTCAACTTCGAAATTCCTATGCAAATCTTGCTTTTTCATCTTCCAATCTCCCACCAATTCACAAATTATTGCTCACCTTGCCCCAATGTGGCGAAGTGGGGTATTTTAGACTGCCTGACTAAGCGATATTTTCCATTTTGTTTGGGCGGCGTGATCTTCAATGTCGGACAACTTTTAAAAACAACAACGAATTCACATCTTCTTCTAATACATTACAGAAGCAAGGTAGGATTGGGATTAAGACCGAGTCTGAGAATACAATTTGTTAGGCGCGAGTTGAGCATATGGCGGATTCAAATAATAAGAGGAAAGAAAGGTCTGGAGGCGGCGGAAGAGATGCGAGAGATGCGAGAGATGGGGATAATAGAGGGGGGAAAAGAGCTAAGGTATGTGGCTTTCCTTTTTTTTCTTTCTGAATTCATGGAGGGTTTATGTTTGAGATGAACGCAGAAGGGGAGAGAATTGAAGCAATTGGATGTGATTTTGTGATGATTTTGGCGGCAGTCGAGAAAGGAAGCAAGTCCTGATCTCAATTGAAGTCTTCGGTTCAAGAGTGGTCCCTCGGCGAGATTGACTGCCAAAGGAACTTATTCGATCATATTTACTCGAAAGAAATTTTGAATTTCGTAATGGCTCCAAGACATGCAGGCAGACCAGAGCATGTTTTCTGTTTTCATCATCAATGAGATGTTGCAACTTAGTGGAAGAGGGCCTGGAGAGGCTCTCAAATTTCTATTCAGGGTTGCTGTAGTAATTCAAAATGATTCTTGCGCTCGACAATATATGCTTCAATTTGGCCTCATCTGTCCCATCGAAATTCCTCTGACTTCTCATGCAGGGTGGTTCAAATGGCAGATGGCAAACTCCACATCAGCAAACCAAAATTGCCTCTAAGAGTGGTGGGAAGATAGAGCCAGGTGACCAAGGGATTTGGGCAACGTGCGTGAAGGGCAAAGAAGGAAAGGCGACAGAGGAGCTGAGGGGTCTACTTGAGGAGGTTAGTTATCAAGTTTTAGCCCCAGACTTGTACCGATTCATGCTAAATTGCAATCAGTCTGCTGAGAAATACTATGGTATCTCCGTGAAGTCAAGCAACGAAAAGGGGGGCGAGGAAGACGAAGATGCTACCGAATCAGTTGATGATATCGAAGCATCCATTCGAAAAGAAGTTGCAGCGCATAAAGATCCTGCAGAGAAGCTTTTCTCAGCAATTTACCTAGATATCCAGTGCGTGTTGTTTTTCAAGACACAATTGCCAATAGACCCAGCCGATCTCGTTCACAGGATGTGCGAAGATGCAGCATCGGGCGGGGTGAGAAAACTGAGGTTTGTAAATCGTCTAACACCAATGTCAATTATTGGGAAAGCAACGGAAAAAGGCATCGAAGAAGTCGGACACGCCGTGCTAGGTGCTCATTTCCGACTTGCTGGAGACGCCGCAAAATCAGAGGAAGTTGCTGCATACTCGGTACGTATTCCTGTTTTGCGTATAGTGCTGCCACGACACTGAAGTTCTAGCCTCAAAGTTTGATTAGATTGTTTGAGTTTTGGGCCAACATTCATTAACCGCATTGCAGTATGCTATCCGACCCACGATACGCAATCATAGCACGTTAAAGCGGGATGCCGTGATTAAACAGGTCGCATCTCTGGTGGATGACAATCATAAAGTCAATCTCACTAAGCCACACAAAGTGATAATAATCGAGATTTACCAGGTAAAGAATGCAAACCCACATATGCAGAGATCAACATGCTAACTCACATTGGCTAGACTATCTGTGGTATGAGTGTCGTTGGAGATGACTGGGAAAAGCTTAAGCGCTATAATCTTTACGAGCTCCAGTCACCTTCAGCGAGTTTAAAATCTGGGGGACTAGCAGATGCCAAAGCAAGAGCTACGCCCGAAAACGTAATTACAGACGAGAATCGGGCTCTACCCGAGAAATCAAACGGCAGTTAATTGTTTTAGATTACTAGCATCACTTTGTATCACCTATGCCAGTTACCATTTTCCAGAGATGAGATGTGCAAATGTTCCTTGTGACGCAAAGGATGCAATAGACCAAAATCGGGCATTTGAATACTTGCGCATATCTCATACCAATCGATCTGCACAGGCGCTTAGATCAGCTTACCTTACTCATAAATCATATCATATCATTTCATGTCATGTCGCATTCAAGTTCCTCAACAAACCCGTACCTAAAATCCCACCCTTCCATCGCAGGGTATAAGGGTGCATATCCGGCTTCTAGGGCTTCTCGAGGCACAAGTTTGACCGCTACATTTACAGCTTCTCAAGACTCTGATCCATGTGAATGTAGATATTACCCTTGAAGCCTAGAAGAGTAAAAAAACGTGGACTGTGGGGAATTTTTTATCTGGAAAACTGATATCCATGATCTTGATCCAAAGTTGCTCTGTATTCTTTCGAATCATCGACATACTTCAAGCGTCACTCTATACTGCATGTGCATAATGCATATTACAAGTCTATGTGAAGTACATAGTGATCACAATATTGCATGATCTAATATGTAACTTAGGCCCAGCTGAACTGAGTTCTCGCTCCCGCATAAAATACAGCGGCACCTTATCTACAACTAGAATTCTTTGTGTGATGGTATGCAGAAAGCTCGAAAACTAAGAGTGTCTTTCCATCTCTAATGACACAAACAATACACATGTTAAATAATTTGCAAATTTTCCCAAAACTTCAGAAGTGTTTGTACTAAACACGCGTACATGGTGTATGCAACCTCGCTACTGGGCGCTCCATCGAAGTTACATGGTTTTGCACTCGGGCTATTACTGAAATGGGAGCGGCTAACCTGATCGGCTGAAATTAAACGAGGGTGGAACTGATTGATCCGAGGAATTTTTTTGGGATGAGAACGGTGAAATGAGTTAGTTATTAGTATTTGGGATTGGGATTTGGGGGTTGCCGTTAGATTAGTGGTGTAGGAAGGTTGAGATGTTTATATTGCGTCTGTATGAATGGATTGGAATAGGATGAGACGAATACTCGAACATCAGACGAAAATACCTGGGGTTCCTCCAACGAAGTGGTGGCTTTCTTTCTGCTTAGCATGCATCATACTCTATTCGAAAGTACATACCTGGGTATATCACCAGATTCATATAGGTTACAATTCTCTCGTAAATCAACGTGCGTTTATTTTCCCAGTACCACACGTGTTTAATATATTCTTCCTTCTCGTCGGAACAGAGGATTAGAGGTGGAGTGCTGGGAAGATATCTCCTAAATCCATATTTCAACACGGAAAGAACTGTTTCTAGTGCTGGAATCCATATCCACTTCAGCTCCATTGCATGATTTCATGATCATGAGATTTTTTTCCTCTTCTCCAATTTCCTTCGCCGATCCCCCATTTCGTTCCTGTGCTGCAGCATGTGTCGAGTGCAGCATTCAGAATTGTCGTGATTTCAGATTTATGCGTTCAATGCATGAGTCCGTATTGGAAACGTCTTAACACTTTTACAGCATCACTCAGTGGTATGTATGTATGTGCATCAGTAGTAGATGTAACTCGCAATCGCACTCGTAACGCATACAAAGCCGATATCAAATTGATGAACAGGTGAAAGATATGTATGGATGGGATGGATGACCAAACAATCCCATACAACCTGCACCTTCCCGATGTAAAAAGTTCGCTTATTCCCGACCAATCGTAGAATTTAAATCGTACTTCTCCCCCCTTGTCTATATAACACAACCCAAGGGAAAGGGATGGATTAGCATGGATAGTGTGGATAGAGTGGATGTACCTGTCGATGTTACCTCAGGCTTGACATACCCCCACCAATCTAATCAATTCAAATTTCACTTCCAGCCACTACACTTACAACCACAAATACCAATCAGTATCAATCACACAAGAAAAATACGACATCTAATCCGCTCTTGTATGTAGTTTGATATGTGTATTTCTTCGTTCATGTCCGAACTGCATTTACCATCTTTACTTCTGCATCTGCATCTACATCTACATCTACATCTACATCTACATCTACATCTACATCTACATCTACATCTACATCTACATCTACATCTACATCTACATCTACAGCCATCGGTATCTTCTTGCATCAATGCCAATGTCTCGGGTACCAAAGTTCTCGATATCAACATAATCTCGACTCTCGACAATCCCGTAATTGGATCGATGATAATACATAGACCGGGATATTGAAGATCCTGTTACCCATTATGACCTAGTTCTTTAAATTTTACATACATCGAACACCCCGTACCTGAAGTCTCCACATCTTGCCAACCAAGCTTCCAAGTTCCAACACTAGACACGATTGTTATTCCATGGCGGGAGCTATCTAAGAAAAGACCTCCTATACACGCCTCAAGCGCACTCCACTCATCTTTAGATTCTATTTCATCTTGTCACCATACATGAATGATTCTCAAAAATTGCCTTTCTAGTACAAGTTCCATGTCCCGGAAAAGTTCTCCCCCAATGTTCCAGAATCCAGAATCGTTCAAAACAGCGCCTCAATCTCACCTCCAATCGGTTGTCTAAACCCTATTCGTCCAAAGCTCCGTTTCTCGTTAGAAAAGTGACATCCATCTTTCGCTTCGAGAATTACTTTATATCTACTTCTTCGTCGATAGACCTACAGAATAGTAGCTATACAACGACACGATAGATACCCGATACAGCTCAAGGTCATCGATCATCCACAATTATCCACAAATTCAGTCCTGCCGCCGATAAGATTCCAAGAATTTCGTATTTTGTTCCACTTACCCATTTCAAAAAACTATCCGTTATTGGGAAATTACCCAATTCACGTTCTCTTACCCGCAGAACACTTCAGGGTTTTCAAGGAGGTGGCTGCCTTGCATCCCTCCGCAGGCACCAATATTTTGTTGAGTACCACCTTAAGGCATCCAATATTCAAACACCAGAGAGCACGAGCATTACTTTTACAACTGTACATCAATACTTCGATGCAGAACAATATTCCTACCTAATCACATAATTTGGGTGTTGTGCGTCTCTCCCACCGCCGATCTTCCAAAGATCTAATTTCCAGTATTGTGGAGCTCAAAGGAGCCAGTTGCCACGGACTTCATCACTGCAATTGGACCAATCGAAAAATACTATAAGCGAATTGACGAGACCAGAGTGCCGCCAAATATTCCTGGCCAACCTTATACTTATCATATTAAGGTAAAAGCCCGGCAAGGCTATGATCCAAGTCAGTAAGCAACCGAGAACAGCTACTGCCAGATTGCAGAAACACGACATACATATCATATCCCTATCAATTTGCTCACCCTCATCCTCAGGCTGATCAAACCCACTGACTCCACTTTATCCCAAAACCATACATATCCACATCTCACCCTCATATCTGAATACCACCTCACTGCTCATAATGGCTTCGTACAAGACAGCCGTCCCTGGCAAGTCCTTCAAGACGTCGCTTATGTACTCGGTCCCAGTACGACGTCTTAAGGAGATACTTAGCCATGTGGTACCGGACATGAAACTAGGAAGTGTCGAAGAATTACCCTCTACCCAACTACCCAGACTATACACTCTCAACATGTCGAATGACAACAAGCTTCTCCTATCCTTTGCGCCCAGTTTAGCAGTTCGTCTCTTGAGGCACGAGACCACGCTTCAGTACTCTGAAGCAACTCTCGTACATTTCCTCGATACTTCAAGCCAAAAGTCCAAAGGCGTAACTACCAATGGCGTGGAAGATGTAGAACATGATTTAGCATCCATCAAACTAGAAGACGTGATACCGAAAATGCTCAAGCATTCATCCAATAACCGAGAGATGGCATTACCATACACAATCTTCGAACCAACAGCCGGAAAAACACTTTCTGCACTCTCAGTATACCTCAGTCTTTCCGACCGGCACCTCATTGACAAACAAGTCGGATCTCTAACTCGAAGCTTAGCTTCCCTCACATCACCCAACGGCACATTCGGTACAGCAGCCCGAGTCCTCCCAGATCCCTTCAAACAATCACCCCCTTCAGCTCCTTTAGGCTCAGGCTCCTCAACCTGGTCCGAAGCTTTCAATACGCTACTTGAATCAATTTTACGCGATGGAGAAGATATGGCCGTCTTACTTCCATACGATGTAGTGCGATCACATTACCAACGTCTATCTTGGCGCATGGACGCTGTCAAACTTCCTAGATTGGTACTACTAGATCTAGGCGAACGGAATGTAATGATCGAGAATGGAATCAAAGGCAGTTCGCACATCCCGACTGAAAGTCTCAAAGTGACAGGGCTACGAAACTGGAGTCAGGGTGTCTTTGGAGACCCATTACTCTCAAACGTTTTCGAAAATCCTAGTGAAGGATTCATGGAAGGCTGGAAGGCAGGTGACGAAGATGATCTCATCGAGGACACAGGAAATGCAGAAGTACGATTGTTACTCTACCGCTGCTACAGAGCTGTACTGGGAATAGTGACAGAATACTACCGACCCCAAAACGACAGCAGTAGACGCGAGTTGGAAAACCGGAGGAATTTAACCGCTGCGTTATTAGAACTGGAAAAAGTGGATGTTGCAGTCAATGATATGCTCAAGAGAGCGCGAAGCCTGAGTTCATCTGTAGCCCCGGAGACGGAGAGTTCCAAGAGGCAAAAAATTGGTATCGAGGATTTGGTGGATGAAAATTGAGGCATACCAGCGAATTTTTGATGTACTTAGTGATACCCAAGCAATAGTCAAATATCTTGTAATTTTTGTTCAATCTTTATTCAGGTCTCTTTCCACGACTTCTCCCTTCGTCATCTTCGTCGCGAGGCAATTTCATACCCATCATACCTAGTAGATTGCCCCCGGGCCCAGCCATGCCTCCTTGACTCTTGAAACTTTCTAATAGATTTTTCGCCAGGTTAAAATCGATATCCAATTCCTCATCGCTTTCTTCCTCTTCCTCGTCCTCCTCATCTACTTCTTCTCGTTGCTTCCCCTTTTCAGTGCCCATCCCCTTTCCGGCGAGGGCAGCAATCTTGCTTGGGGTTGGATCTAAATTGAGCGCTCCAGCTTCGTTCAACTCTGCTTCCATCCTTTTCATCACTTTTTGTATCTCCTCCATCTCATCGCCCTCTTCATCCTCATCGTCGCTATCGATTTCTTCAACCCTGCGGGAATTTCCTGGCTTGGATCGAGATGCAGGTTGATCTATGTCATCCGTTGGCATGCCCATCATCTCTCTCATCATCTTCGCAAATTCCACTTCATCAAAGCTAACATCTTTGTCCTCCTCACTGTCATCATCATCGATATCATCATCATCATCGTCTTCGTCTTCATCGTCATCGTCATCGTCATCCATCTCATCCATCTCAGCACCGTCAGGACCGGCGTCATCGTCGTTTAGAAAAGCTTCGAATCGTTCCACCATTTTCTTTAAATCAGCTTCAGTCTTTGCATCGCCAAATCCAGACGGGGGTTCCGGTCCAAAAGCTCCAGGTATCCCAGCCGCCGACTTCTTGTCCTTGTTCTTTCCATCCAGCTCTCTTTCGAAGTCCTCGAAATTGATGTCGAGCCATTTCTCATCATCTTCTCTCATGTTGTCATTCCACGTCAGAATCTCATCATCGTTAGGAAGATTGGAAGCATCTTCCTCGAGATCTTCTAGAAGTATATTAATTTCTCTAACGGATCGATAATCGGCATTTTTCGGATCTGTTACTAGCATTTCGAATCCTGAAGTGACCTTCATTCCCATTTCTAATCGCGTCAAGTTGTCCAATCCTGCGCCGTTCTTTGGCGGTGCTAAAACATCCTTCCATGCGATAGGGGTAGAAAATTGTTGTGATTTCAGCTGTGCATAGAGAACTTTTGTAAATCGGGCTGAGACGGTGACTAAATCCTTAGGGGGAAATGCAAGTTTAGATGAGAGGGACTGAAGAGGCTTGAGTGCAATTGGATCTCGAAGATAAAATGCTTCGACTGCCGGGGCGATAGCAGTTGGGCGAAGATGTAGTATGTAAGCAACTTTCCGCGGTATTGTGATGCGAGCATGATGAAGGGATGCTGCAATTTGGGCCGGATAGTTTCGCAAACGATAGAACGCCTCTTCTTCGATCATGGGTGAGTGTATGAGTATTTCTGGGGTTGAGGATATGGTTTTGTGGGCTTCTTCTAAGGTAAGTGATCGAGATATTGGGGCAGTTGGGGTTTTGGTTGAGGAATCAGTGATTGCACGCAATGGTATAATGTGAAGAGCATTATTATGAATCCATACCTGCTAGGTGTCAGAACTTATTCCTTACTGTATGTGAACGAGAATACCCACCCTGTTA